TTTATCGAATTGAACGTTTGAATTCAAACAAGAAGGTTTGGAATAGCAAAAAATCTAATTTGAATATGTACAGTTATTTAAGGCGTTTATTTTTTGACCTGTTTATATGGTTAGAGGACACTTACTTTAGTCATTACCTCCGCTCTTCCAATTTAAGTACTATGGAATATTGGTCATTTTAAGGATTATCATGGCAAATGAATGGATCACCTGATGGTAAGCAATCCACAACACACATCGAATTTGAAGATTGGAAAATGCTCTATTTGTTACGTCATATCCATCATCATCGGATCACTCAGCCTCACCTGTTAATTGAGCTGACTGTAAACCGACACATGCGTACTGACGTCAGAACGGGTCCGCTCAAACTGTTGTGGTTCTTTCCTCAAAAGGCTACTACAGAAAGAACTTGCACGGTTCTCACACAGACATAATCTGTTATATATATTGTCTATAAGTACTTTAAAAGAGACAGACCTCTGAGTTTGTTTCGGCATTTCTTCTCAGAGTAGTCAGTTAGGAAATGTCGGCCTCATCGTTCGCTTGATAAAATTGTCGTGTAAAAGTGCTGCCTTGTAGTCTATTTGCAGAAATAAATTCATTTGTAAAAATATGTAGTCCGAAGCGAGTTCATATTTAGTAATATAATAAGTGTATTATTATAAGAAAAATACGCAATTCGCTTCATATGGTGCATAGACGACCTTGAATTCGGACAAAGAACCCAGACATCAGACATCAGACATGCGACATATTTGATACATGCTTTAGATTTTTTTTAATCTACATAATATTTCTATATTTCATATCAGCCACGTACCGTCCACTGCCTCCCACAGTCCACCCCCAAAGACACATCGCGAGGTTGGAAGCGATCTGTATTTTTCTTTTTTATTGGATAAGCCCGTAAACGAGTAGACGGTATATTATCTGATGGTAAGCAATCGGCGTCGCCCATGTACACCTGGAACAACAGAGGCGTTACAAGTACGTTACCGGATTTTTCTGAATCTGCGGAGTATTCGAGATTGGGGAGACTGGGGATGGGAACACGACGAAACACAAGACAAGCGGTTTTCTGTAAGGCCGTGGTATCGGTTGAGCCGGCCCATTTGTGCCGAATCATGGTTCTCTCGCACTCATACTCATACCCGCTCCCGCATGCATACAGCGACTGTCGCAGACCTTTATCAGCTCGTCTATCCATCTTGTATACGTCCTGAGCCGTATTCAAAAACCTTTATATCCCATTAGGCTCTAGGGAAATATCAGGACGAAGAAATTACATTTATTTGCCGTACACAAGAATATTTTAAAAGCAATATGTCGGCAATTCACTGAAAGGATTGACATGGATAAGTACATTCTTCAAATATTGTTGTGTGATAAGTCCCCAGGGCGCGTCTATGGTCATATTCCAACCACAATTCCATTACCTATACACCGGACATACGCACCCGTGTCATTACTGAGAATTTTTAAACCGAGACCGTTACAGAGATGCTGCGAAAAAAAATTACCTAACGAAAATGGCGCCAAAATGAGAAACGTCAAAGTGACAGTTACTGCCAGAGAGTAGAGAAAGTTTTTTTTTTCTATGTTATAAACTTCTGAAGTTTTTTTTTTAAATACTTAGGTAATTGTAGAACATTAAATTAGAAGAGCTGTATTATACTGCCTGACGATTCTATGATCCTAATTAACTTCAATAGCGGGGACAGTCCACTGCTGCACTATGAGCCTCCTCTACATAAGAGGGTTTGTCATAATCTCCGCAGGCAGGCGTTGGAGATCGCAGTATACAAGGTTCAGGTTTATCAGAGAGCGCTGCTACCAGGACATTGTCTAATGTATTGTCGCTTAGTCGGGTGTATGATACCCGCCGAAAGAGCAGCGGTGTTGACAAATGTTTTCTACTGTTCGCCATATTGAATGCATTGTAATAATAAATCAAGAATATTTTTATCAATATTATTAGAAGATTTTGCCATAGTAAAACAAACCTTTGCGCTAAAGAAATAAAGCGAAAATTCCTATAGCAAATACGACACGTGATAAAGCATTTTTCCCTCGCTTTTACAAGAGGTCATTGTCGGTCAAAGAACAGGTATGCCATTCGAATACAAACCAAATACAACTTTAACTTTAAGCTTTAAAGTTCAAAATCACTTGTCTTTCAATAATTCTCACGATCGACATATTTATGCTGTAGCAAAAAGAAATGGCATTACATGCAAGAGAATAAACACTTTATACCTTAGAAGTTAAGGTTTAAATTCAAATGTGATTAATACAGTTTGACAGCCCGCGCTTTTTTCAATGAAGGTTTTGTTATCTGTAGTAATATTTATGACGTTTCGATAAATAAATTAAACATTAATGTTAGAGATAGCCATGTATTTAGTGACGGCAGACGAGAATATATATGTCACCACCGCTACTCTTCCCGCGGGTATCACATACCCGACTAACCGACACTACACATTAGACAGAGTCCGTGCATCAGCGCTCTCTGATAAACCTGAACCTTGTATACTGCGATCTCCAACCCGCCTGCCTTCGGAGATTATGACAAACCCTCTTATGTAGAGGAGACTCATAGTACAGCAGTGGACTGTCTTCGTTGACATAAAATAATAATCAAGAGTTCAGATGAGCTGGTAAAGGTCTGTGACAGCTGCTGTATGCAGCTCGGTTCCAACCTCGCGATGTTCCAGTCATTGGGGGAAGTCTGTGGGAGGCATTGGGCAGTTTTTTTTTTAAGGGGCGAAAATCATCGAATGACTGCTCCCGCCTGGGTGAGGCGGGAGGGTGTGTCAGACTCTTACTGACTAAAAACCACCCCGTTCCTTCTCCTGCACGTCGAGCCGGAGCCCCGGTTACCCGTTAGGTTCTCCGCGACAGGCAGTGGATAGTACGGGGCTGATATGTGACGACGATAAAAAAAATGAAACATGCTTGCTATTTCAGCAAAAATGCAGTAATTCGAATGTCATACATAAAGCAAATAGTTGATAATTTCATATTTGTATTGATAAAAAATTCTTGATTTTGATTTTTTAGAAGCTTTTCCTTATAAAGCGCTATGAACGAAACATCTAAGACCTTTTTACTTCATTGCAATTAGGACTATATTTTGTGAGGGCGAAGGGTGATTTTTAAATGTTTGAGCGCCACCTACTACGCTCCTTACATACTTCTTTAGCTTCCATCACATTCATACATCTGATGGTATACAGAAACTACAGAGCGCCACCTACTACGCTCCTTACATACTTCTTTAGCTTCCATCACATTCATACATCTGATGGTATACAGAAACTACAGAGCGCCACCTACTACGCTCCTTACATACTTCTTTAGCTTCCACCACATTCATACATCTGATGGTATACAGAAACTACAGAGCGCCACCTACTACGCTCCTTACATACTTCTTTAGCTTCCATCACATTCATACATCTGACGGTATACAGAAACTACAGAGCGCCACCTACTACGCTCCTTACATACTTCTTTAGCTTCCATCACATTCATACATCTGATGGTATACAGAAACTACAGAGCGCCACCTACTACGCTCCTTACATACTTCTTTAGCTTCCATCACATTCATACATCTGATGGTATACAGAAACTACAGAGCGCCACCTACTACGCTCCTTACATACTTCTTTAGCTTCCATCACATTCATACATCTGATGGTATACAGAAACTACAGGCGCCACCTACTACGCTCCTTGCATACTTCTTTAGCTTCCATCACATTCATACATCTGATGGTATACAGAAACTACAGAGCGCCACTTACTACGCTCCTTACATACTTCTTTAGCTTCCATCACATTCATACATCTGATGGTATATAGAAACTACAGAGCGCCACCTACTACGCCCCTTTTCCCATTTTCCAAGAAATGACAATGAAAAGACAGGAATTGACACTTGTAAATGTCAACTGTCATTGATGCCATAATTAAAGGCAGTGGACATCCGTTTTAAATTTAAACCGACCGCCTACAGCGTCCGGTTTACAAAATACAGACATGTATCTTTTAAACAAATATTGTGCTTAACAAAAGCTTTGTACTTCGTATTAACGAGTAAATTGTCAATGATGTTGAAGTGGTTTTCTCAATATAATGTTTTCTATTGTCTAGTCTGTTATACTTATTTATAGGTTCTTTTTTAAGAGGGGAAAATCATCGAATGACTGAGGCGGGAGGGAGTGTCAGACTCTTACTGACTAAAAACCACTCCGTTCCTTCTCCTGCACGTCGAGCCGGAGCCCGGGTTACCCGTTAGGTTCTGCGCGACTACTTATTTATGGGTTAACAGACTGTCAAAGGAAATTAATAATTCAATTTCAATGCTGAATCTTTCATCTTGTCAAACAGACAAATGTAGGTTCTCAATTTGACATGTGTGTCTGTATATACGTATGTTTATGCGCAAGTATCTCGCGATTGGCTGAATCGATTTGAATGCGGTTTCCGGAAAAGTGTTTGTTATAGGTACTTACTTAGAAAGTTTTAGTATATTAATTAACCTACTTCAAAAAAAAGGGGGTTGTAGACAGTTGTTTTAAACCAGTAGTAACCAGGTACCACAGTCGTTGTTTCAAGAGACTGTTACTACGTTTTTTTAAAGTCCATATTGCTTACTGACAGCTTTTCAAAGTGTTAGCATCTACATAATATTTCCTTATGGTTGATGTTGACGGCTGGCAACACAGCCGAAAAAGGCGCGAATATAGATGTAAATGTCAAAAGTTTTGACATTAAGCAAAAATTCGTTAAAAAATGTTATGTCGTGTTTTAGTTGGCTACTATATAAAATAAAGTATTTTATAAAAGGACAATTATCTTTTAGTTCAGAAGTGGGATCATAAATCTATGTGTTCGTTATTATCGCGTAATTCGCATCCCGAAGAAAATAAAAGACTATTCATAACACGAAGGTGATACAACTTACTACGTCCCGTGAGTTGCTTATTATGGGGGGCGATAGTTACCGTCGACACAATAAAAGTAAAACGAAGAAGAGTCGCCGCCACACGAGTATTACGAATAAATACGGAGAACGAAAGAGTAAGCATCGCTCGAGTCGGAGACATCAGAGTCGTTCGAGTTCGAGGCATCGGAGTCGTTCGAGCTTGGGACATCGGAGTCGTTCGAGTTCGGAACATGAGAGTCGTTCGAGTTTGAGGTATTCGAGATCGCCGTGTAGTCGTGCAGGGCTGACACCGCGCAGGTCACATGACCGTGACCGTGAACGTCGCCACCACCACCAGAGTGTGTCGCCCGAAGATAACAATGTGAGTCGTTCCAATGTTAAAGACACTCAATCCCTGTTAACTGAATTGATTAAATCAATATCCAATAGTCGTCCTGAGGGAAATAAATTCCCGATGCTAGGGAATGTAATACCAGAGTTTGATCCCATGTCAAAACACCAAACGGTTGAGATGTGGCTTAACAAGGTGGAAGAATGTGCTCAGTTATATAAATGGGGAGAAGATCAGATTATCCATTACTCTCTCCCTAAACTTAGTGGTGTAGCCAGGACATGGTATCAGACTCTGCCATCAATGTCGTTTTCGTGGACCGAGTGGAAAAACAAATTAAGGGAGTCTTTCCCATCCACTGATGACTATGCAGAACTCCTTAACGATATGTTGTCCAAAAAGGTTAAATTTAATGATTCATTAGAATTATATTTCTATGAAAAACTTAACCTTCTTAACAGATGTGAAATATATGGCAAAAGGGCAGTCGACTGCCTATTATATGGAATAGAAGACCGTAGTTTGAGATTAGGTGCTAAAGCAGTTAAATGTGAAGAACCGGAACAAGTATTGAAATATTTCCAATCAATAACACAGCAATCCCGAGAGTCAGATACAAAGATTAGGTATATTGATAAAAGAAATAATACATTGTTTAGCATGTCAAATAAACAAAATAATAATATGTTAAACTCAAAACCAATAAGATTTACTGAAGCAAGTAAGATTGTTAAATGTTACAATTGCAATGAGACCGGACATTATAGCTATAATTGTACAAAGAAAGTTATTAAGTGTAGTAATTGTAATAGATTCGGACATTTAGCCAATAGTTGTTCAAAATCGTCTGCTAATGATGCATCAAAAATAGAAAGAAACACGGAAAAGTCAGTCATGGCATTATCTACAACTACACGCGAAAATTATGACAAATATTACATTACCCTGAAAGTAAATGATCGGCCCTTACGTGGGTACATTGACTTAGGCAGTCAATGTACATTGTTACGCCGTAGTGTTGCAGAAAATTTAAATATTCATTGGTCCTCAGAGCAACCACTACCTACAATGCGCGGTATAGGCAATCATGTTGTTTTGCCACTGGGCAAAGCAGCTATAAATGTCGAGATTCAGGGTATTAGACAATCAGTTGACAGTTATATAGTTGAGGATAATGTTATTAAATATGACATATTAATTGGCCATAGCTTTACTGAATCTCCCGGCATTACCATTACTAAAACCACAGATGATTTGATTTTTGGACGGTCTCTACCAATAAAATTAAGACTTAATCTTTTAAATGACATTTTCATCCCTCCAAGTGAGTCATGCGTGGTAAAGGTAAATGGTGATGTTAGTTATTCAGGCACAATACATGTTAACGGTTCTCTACGTGGGTGTCCTGGTGAAGAATACTATCTGATGCCTGGTGAATATGATCTAGTGAATGGAGCTGGTGCATTATTAATACAAAACATATCAAATCATAAATTATTGTTAAGACAGGGATCTTTAATAACCCGTGCGTTATGTACGAAGTCTATACTAAATGTAAACTTGTTGGATTTTAATGATGCAAATATTAGTAATTCAATAAATTATGACAACAAATTATCCAGTGAAGAAATATTTCAGCTTAAAAATATATTACAAAAGTACAAACAATGTTTTTCTTGTAATATGATGGATTTAGGTTATACCAACATTGAAAAAATGGAAATTGAATTGATTGATACAAAACCTGTGGTTTACAGACCATATAGATTATCTTACCCCGAAAGAGAATTAGTGAAATCTATGGTACAGGAAATGCTCGCTGCAGATATTATATGTGAATCCAACTCAGCATATGCCAGCCCAGTTCTCCTCGTTAAGAAGAAGACTGGAGACAAAAGACTTTGTATTGACTATCGTGCACTGAACAGAAAAACCAAAAAGGAGCATTTTCCCCTACCACTGATTGATGATCAACTAGATCGATTAGCTGGTCATTCATTATTCATTAGCTTAGATTTAGCATCAGGTTATTATCAATTAGCGGTCGGAGAAAGTTCCCAGGATAAAACGGCATTTGTTACTCCGGATGGCCAATATCAATTTAAGAGAATGCCTTTCGGTTTAGCAAATGCGCCGTCTGTCTTTCAAAGAACCATGAACAAAATACTTGCTAAATTAGATTATATCATTATTTACATGGACGATATTTTAATCCCAGCGCGCACTTTCAATGAAGGTTTAAAAAGACTAGATGAAGTTTTGAGTATCTTCCGTGGTGCAAATCTTACTCTTAAGTTAGAAAAATGTTTCTTCTTTTATACACAGATAGATTTCTTAGGCTTTGAGGTAAGCGGATCTGGTATAAGACCCGGTTCTCGTAAAATAACTGCAGTATCAAACTTCCCGACTCCAAACAATGTTCATGACGTTAGGCGCTTTATAGGGTTAACCAGTTTTTTCCGACGTTTCGTAAAGGATTTTTCTCTAATTGCACGTCCGTTAACCGATCTGTTAAGGAAACGGGTTACATGGAGATGGTCTGAAGAACAAATGACAGCATTTGAAACCCTGAAACAGAAATTAGTCGAGAGACCATTACTCGCATTATACGATTCCAAATTAGAAACCGAATTACACACAGATGCGTCAAAACACGGTATTGCGGGTATTCTAATGCAACGTAACAGAGACGGGACGTTAAATCCTGTAGCATATTACAGCCGCAAAACATCGGCGGATGAACAAAAGCTTCACTCTTTTGATTTAGAGACACTAGCTGTCATAGCATCATTAAACAGATTTCGTGTCTATCTATTAGGACTAAAGTTTAAAATAGTAACGGATTGCAATGCACTAAGAACTACCATGACAAAGAGGGACCTCATCCCTAGAATAGGTCGGTGGTGGGTGCAGTTCCAGGAGTATGACTGTGAAATAGAATACAGAGCAGGTGCAAAAATGTCACATGTTGATGCACTCAGTCGTGCCCCTGTAGATGAACCCGCTACTTTTGACTCTACACACGTTATTGATGTACTCAATGTAGAAGCGAAAGACTGGATCGCTACTGTCCAGAGTGATGACGATGAGATTAAAAGAATCAAGGAAATTTTAGCGGGTAAAGACACAGCATTCATTGTTGACGTTCATAAAAATTACCAGTTAAAAGGTAATTATGTTTATAGGGTAATCGATGGTGGGTTACGTTGGGTGGTTCCAAGATCAGTTAGGTGGCAATTACTTAAGATGAACCACGACGACGTGGGCCATTTCAGTTATGATAAGACACTAAGTAGGCTTAAAGGTTCATTTTGGTTCCCCAAAATGCGGAGATTCACGAAAAAGTATGTCAAAGCTTGTTTAGAATGTGCGTATCATAAGGCACCCGCAGGACCTAAAGAAGGACTACTTCATCCGATTCCAAAACCAGACATACCTTTTCACACTTTGCATGCGGATCACTTAGGTCCATTCGTTCGTTCGCGGAGAGGCAATATGTACATTTTAGTAATCATAGATGCTTTTACAAAATTTATCAGTATAAGACCTGGCAGAGATACAAAGACTACTACTACCATTCGAGTCCTTAAAGATTTTTTTAGCTATTTTGGAGCACCAACTCGATTAATCACAGACAGGGGTACTTGTTTTACTAGTTCCAAATTTAAAACCTTTGTAGAAGATAGTCGTATTAAACACGTATTAAACGCTGTAGCAACTCCGCGAGCGAACGGACAGGTTGAGAGATTTAATCGAACTATTTCGGAGGCTCTTAGCGCAAAATGCCATGATAAAAATGATAACACCTGGGATGAATATGTTAGTGACGTTCAGCTAGGATTAAACACATCAGTTAACAAAAGTACCGGAAAAAGTCCGTCAGAATTATTGTTTGGTTATAACGTTAAAACTGTGTCTGAAAATATATTAGGAGATATAATTAATACAACTACAGATCGCATTAGCGGCGATGAATTAATCAATCTAAGAAATGAATCTATGCACAAAATCGAAAAGCAACAAAATTTAGCCAAACATCGATACGACAAGCATAGAAAGTTAGCCACAAAATACAACATTGGTGATCTAGTTAGATTAGAAAGAACTACATTTGATAAGGATAGAATTGGTAAATCCAAGAAACTAATGGCTAAATTTCACGGACCCTATAAAATTGTTAAAATATTACCCAATGATAGATTTTTGGTTGAAGATACTCCTATTACAAGAAAGAAAGGTAAGAAGTACGAAAACGTAGTATCTATTGATAAAATACATCCGTGGCTGAACTTTAAATCATTGGACAGCGAAAACGACAGTGATGGTAACGACAAAAGTGATACAAAAGACAAAAGTGACAGCGAAAACGACAGTGATGGTAACGACAAGAGTGAATGAGGCGATTAAAATAATGACAAAATTTAGGTTACTATAAAATAAGAGTCTATTGTAAATGTTGTATTAAATACAAGCGTCAGTGCTTACTTGTTTCGAAGCAGATCACGACAGACTACACTGGTGTGGGTTGCGAGCCTTAGTGTGTGAGGCAGATCGCAACAGACCATGCTTGTGTAGGTTGTGAGCTTCATGATATTTGCACAGATGACACAGATCATGACAGACTCTACAGATGTGGGTCCCGAGCGCCATTCTTACCCTACACAGATGACGCAGATCGTGATAGACCATATCAGTAGGGGTTGTGAGTGTCAGTGTATACAGTACAGGTGACGCAGATTGCATCAGACTATATTTGGCATTGATCGTGAGCGCCAGTGCTAAAGCATAGATGGCGCAGATTGCGTTTTCAATATGGCAGTATAGGATGCGAGCGTTAATATCCTTTGGCACAGATGACGCAGATTGTGAATGTTTATTCTCTAAAGACTAGAGAACATAAGACTGTTTTTATTGTTTTGCTATTTTGATGTTATGTGATTACTTCAGATTGTTTTACTCTTTGTTAAGTTATATGAGAGAGATATAAGAAATCCTCAAGGAAGGCTCAAGTGCATATTGTTTAAATTGGTGTGAGGACACACCATGGTTAGGATGGCCGAGTGATTTTGGTCATGATGATATTTTAAGATAACAGTACATTATGGTTAATAACTAGTGCTTTGTTATGTTGATATTTTATAGTAACTATACATTGTGGTTAATAACTTAATACCCCTATTTATTAGGAAACTTTAGAATGTTTTATTTTTTTTAATAACTTAAGAACTTAGAATTAGTTTATTCTAATTCTATTGTAATTCTAATTATGCCTAGTAAAATTAAGATCTGTGTAACCTTGAGTTACACTCAGTGTATTGTGGATTTTATTCTTAATTAATGTTTTACGGTTACTTTGCTATGTTCCTCAACTTGAACTTCAGTTCTTATATTTGTATTACTTTTAGTTATAAGACTTTGTTACCTAAGTTACACTCAAGTGTAAAATTTGAATTTATTCATTTTGGTGTCACTTTATGTTATGTTGTATGCATTGATACTTCAGATCTTATTTGAACTATACTTAGTATTTATGTTTTTGTAACCTTCAATTAGTCTCAAGTGTACTGTGGATTTTATTCAAAATCAATGTTTTACACTTATTTTATGTCAGGTTGCCGAAGTTGATACTTCAATCCCTATTTGTATTATTAGTTAGCAAACTTAAGATTCTTGTACCTTTGTGTTAGGCTAAAGTTTATTACTGATTTTATTCTATGTTGATGTCTACAATTATTATTAGTTGTGTTATGTTATTGGGCTTATTATTTCAATTACTAATTGTATTGAGTGTATGTTGATTTAAGTTGGTGTGAGGACACACCCTAGTTAGGATGGCCGAGCTGTTAGCATCTACATAATATTTCCTTATGGTTGATGTTGACGGCTGGCAACACAGCCGAAAAAGGCGCGAATATAGATGTAAATGTCAAAAGTTTTGACATTAAGCAAAAATTCGTTAAAAAATGTTATGTCGTGTTTTAGTTGGCTACTATATAAAATAAAGTATTTTATAAAAGGACAATTATCTTTTAAAAGCAACATCTCAACCAACGAGGTATTTCTTAGAAATAAAAAAAAAGTAGTAAATTTGAATAAACTTGTCAATTTATTAATTTTTACCTACTGAAGAAGGTTGTTTTACTTCATTTTACAATTTAAAATATGGTCATTATCCCTTTTATTCCCACCGGAAGATCACAGTAACTATTTTTATACAACACACAACTTTCAGAAACTAACAATAACAGCTGATAATATTATTATGCTACACCGATTTAAACAAATAATTTTACCTTAAAAACCGACTTTTTTTATTAGGACCAACGAAATTACTCTCACAGTCACACAGCAACCGAAAAAAAAATTAAGCTTACCACTAAAATTTTCTCCTGTATACGATTATAACCTCTAACAGTCAGATTACAAGGTCTAAAACCGCGTGGCAATAAAACATGGTAATGCAAACACTTCAAGTTTAACCTGTTTACGATTATAGTCTTTAAGACTTTGTTGTTACGGTGTGATATCGCCCGGCAATAAAGCATAGAAATGCAAACGGGCTGGAGAATTCCAGATTTAAAAACAACGGTATCGTAACCGACTGTTCGTTTCGCGCGCTTTTGTGTCCAGCTAACTTCACTTTACCGTTAGCATGATCTCTATTTTCTTTCAGTTAAGGTAGAATTTTGATTGATTTGTAATCTTCAAAATTTTGTTTACATTTGACAGATAGTGTTTGAATGAGCGTTCTTAGAAAAATGGCGGAAGGATCCCAATATCCCATAATGTTAGTTTTATTTTCATTTTGTTGGCTTACGAAGAAAATCAGCTGATTTTGTTCCGTGTTCAAATCAGCTGTGAATTACAGTATTTAGTTTTACACATTTAGACGCCTTTTTATCACTGAAGGGGTAGACGGAGGTCCACTGTACAATGTAACATCCACTTTTCACTATTTATGTTATGAGTCCTATGTAATAGGGTGAGCCTATTGCCACAAATTCCAAACTTCATGTCAATCTCAAAAGAACTTTTCGAAAACAGAGGTAGGTGTGCTCCATCCTCGACCACATCATCACGCACCACCAGGAGAAATGGTGCATAACACCACGCCTTTTAGCCCCGAAGGGGTAAGCAGAGGTGCACATTACGGCACTTAATGCCACTGTACAATGTAACACCCACTTTTCACTATTTATGTTATGAGTCCTATGTAATAGGAGGTGAGTCTTTTGCCATATACCGAGCACAATTCCAGACTCCGTGCTACCCACTGAGAATGTTTTTAAAAACCCAGTAATATTTCCGACCCGGAAATCGAACCTGAGACCCCTTACCCGGCTGTCGCACTAGACCACTTACTTAGACTTGGCCAACGAGGCAGTCGACCTATCAAGTATAAAAAAAAAACAGAAAAAAAATACTACCCAAGATTTGAACCAATGAGGCAGTTACAGAATTAATTGTATGCAGTAATCTCGAATTACATTTGATCGTAGAACCATTCGCTTTGTCCATCTTTAAGTCCGTGGTCTGAATACAAATAGCGTAAAAATCCAGACTAAATTAAGAACAGCTAACAGCTAAGTTCAGTTATTCTAGACAATCTGTACTATTTTGTATGGGGCTATACACATTTTATATAGTGTAGATCGTCATTAGGTAGTCCTAATGACGATCTCCGGCCACCGTAAGCGCGGGCCTGCGGACGACGAGCATGGGTAGCTCGCCGCCCGACTAGAACCAGACCTCAAAGAGTCATCAGACCACCACGGATGGGGCCCAACAGGGCTGATGCCGATACGGAGCCGCGGAAGACTTAACGGGTTACCGGGGCTCCGGCTTGAAGGACAAGAGTAGGAACGGGGTGGTTTTTAGTCAGTAAGAGTCTGACATTCCCTCCCGCCTCACCCAGATGGGAGAAGCCAATGATGATTTTCCCACCTTAAAAAAATACACTACATATTTGCACGCAATTTCACCCGCTACCGGCTCCAATTGATCATAGCGTGAGGTATTATAGCCCATACTATAGGCAATGTATGCATCCCCATCATATAGATGGTTGGCAGGCCACAACTGTGCGCTTCTCACGTAGCTTATGCCTTGCACAGCAAAACTGTGGAATGATCTGTCGTCGGCGGTATTTCCGAACCGATACGACCTTCAATCGATGTCAACGATAACGATGTCTTACCACTTCCTTTGTCTCTAAAACCATTAAAAATACTGAGTCATTGGTAGATTTTTAAGTTCTAAACACCTTTTATTTGCTAATTATTAAAAAAATTAACCTGTGTTGCACTTGTACTTCCGCTCGCGTTGCGGGTGTCCACTGTCCTGGGCGTCGCTGATTATCGTCATCTATCGCATAAAAAAGTTTACTCATTGCCAGATATTTAAAGGAATTAAAAGACAACAATGGAGGACTAAGGGGGAGGCCTTTGTCCAGCAGTGGACGGCTTCCAGCTGTCGATGATGATGATGAAGGAACAAAACAGCTTCACCCAAACCTGGATAAAATAGGAGTCTACGGATATGACATTTCTAAGTTGTAACTCCTCTATTGTTACAGGTGTCCATGGGCGGCGCTGATTGCTGATGCCCCTATCGCATTAACAATATCTTAATAATAATTATTTTTAGTGAATCTTATCAACAATACGGTATTAGACAATTAGTCAAATTCAATACTTTTTTCGAACTGTCAATAACGACGGTTTTCTATGAATTTTGTACGAGATTGTGTATTGTGAGGTCACGTTTTTTTAGCGTCAAACGGCGTATTTATTTCTTAAGTATTTGCGGGATAAATACTATAATTAAGTTGGTTATAAAATCAATTAATGGTAGTATGTTTAGTTTTTTAATGTTTTATTGTATTGAACAGTCGAAATGATAAAATAATATACATATTTTTCATTAAGGAAAGTACCTAATTGCGCTCCCACGCTTAGAAAATACTTTTTCTTCAAATCTGCAACACCATTGTCTAATTATTTTTAAACGAAAACAAATGTCGGCGCCGCACAGTGTGAGAATCCCGCAATCTAGGGGGATTTAAATCAAAATATTTTTTGTCGTAAATGTCATTATAGTTACTACCTATTTATACCTAAGACCGTATTTAACACAGCTACCTATTAGAAATTCTTGTAGGTATGTTAAAAAAATTCAAATAAAATGTTGAAGTGGGTAGATAATAATCGTTGAACCTTTACAATACAAACAACAATATTAAAGTCTCATCTTCACTTGAGATTACTGATCAAATTAACGTATAGTCTTGTTTATTGGTTTATTATTGTATTGTGCATACCTTTCAAGGTAAGTTAGAGTGTATTTTGTTTAAGTAATAGTTAAACATTGATCTCATAACATCATTTGAAAGCACAGTT